CTCTTACCAGTGAAAACGAACATGTGTATAATTTAAGGAATTTTAAACAGTTCGCTTCTTTTAAATGTAGAACTGATAGATTTGGTAATAGTTTTTTCCCTAGCATGATTAGTGTTTTAAACAAATAATTGTTCTTAGTTATAAGTTCTTATTTAATAATCTAATGATACATTGTAATATAGTTACTTTTAGTATTGTAATTCTCATTCAAATCAATTGTAAAACACATTGTAATTCATTTTCATGCGATGATGTGTTATTAAAATACCATTATTATTATTATTATTATTATATAAACATGCAATATATAAATAATCCAGATTGAAGAAGAGAGGGCGACGCCCTCCACTCTCCCGCCCGCACTAAACGCCTGCTACGCAGGCTAGTATTTTTCATCTAAAATAAAGTAAACAAATGGGCACTCATCTTTCAAATATGTTGCATGGTAATGTGTTAAAAAGTTTTCCTTCTTGATAATTATTAGACTATTTTCTTCATTTTAATATAATTTGGGAAATCATGTTTGAATAAGATCTTGAATATTTCTTCCATAGAAATCTCTCACTAAAAAATGACTGGAATGCTGAATGCAGTCTTCATTTAATTTTATATTTTAATACTTAATTTATATTTTTGTACTATACCACGTGAAATTTATACAACTGCACATAATGATTTTAAAATTAAGTACTATTTAAAACATGAGCAGCAGTGTTTTATCAGATATAAAGATAGGAGGCGAAACCGAGTATCTTTAGGTCTAATAAACACGCACTGCGAATGTTTTAAATTGCTTCAAAAACGATCGATCTAGTAAGTTCATTGGCGAAGTAATTTTCAAAAAATACGTTGTGTAAGTCGAGAAAATCAAAGTTAAATTTATGTAAATCAAGGGAAATCTTTATCACATATAAAGATACGACATGCTTATGATTTTTCTTTGTGTTTTTCTCATGCATGAATTATTAATGATTTTTGAACGCCATTTTAAAGGATGAATTTGTCATTTTTGTTGTAGAATATTCTTGGTTATGACTATCGTTCTGATATATACAGCGTTGGTATCACAGCTGTTGAACTGGCATACGGTGTTGCACCGTACAAAAATATGAGTGCGACTCAGGTAGAAGCCAATTTTAAGCGTTTTGTTACATAATGAATTAGAACACACATAATTTATTGCGAGCCGAGGGAGATTTGGTATAACATGATTTTACCCTAACTTTATTTTTGCCCTCCGTCTTCCTCCCCAACTCTTTTATTTGCTTACAGTAACTATATGTACCAAACTAATTACGCTTCTGAGCTTTAATTGAAACTTATGAACTTGTTACTGCGGTGCTCCCTCCTTTCGTGTCCACCACGATTTAGGAATATACTTTTACTCAGCATACGTACCTGCAGCAATTACGTCCAGTAAAATGTTCAGAATAAGTCGTTTTGAAAGATGTAATATATATCACTACCTGAAAAAATAGAAAATATTTCGACGCTTCGAGCAAAGGCCTTATGCTAGTCTTTTCAATACTTTTTATATTCTGTGAGACGCTGCTTTTACTGAAATCCCACATTAGAGATCTGGTTATAGAAATATGATTTTACACCATACAGACTATTAATTATTGACTTGCATATACGTCACTATTTTATATAGTATATATGACGATCTGCTGCTATATGATGTTATCAGTGTAGGGCCATTGTTATATTTTTTGTGATACGATTTTCAAATCTGTACAGGTTCTACTGGCCAAGTTACAAGAAAATGACATAACACTAGAATCTTTTCCAGAGACAAGTGTTTCACCAAGTGGAACATCCTCTGGTGTCTCGGATTCAGGGTTTGGAGACAGCATAGGTGTAAACAGCTGCGAGCAGCATGAGAAAGCAAGAAATAAAAAGTTTTCTTCGTTGTTTTGCCAGGTAATGACCCATTTAGTTCACATTCGGATAACTCCCGTGACTAGTAAGATTCAACGTCATGATCACGTGAGCATGGCAGTGTTCTACTGCCCTTCACCGTAAGCGAATGAGATGCCCACATTGGGATATTAAGATAGGGACACAGAATAAGAACCTTACGGAAGGTCGACTTCTATGATGGCGTAACCGTTTCAATGCTGTAGCCATGTGCCTAGCCAGTGCGCTTATTGGAGACTAGGAACATGGCGACTGCATTTTGATGACGAACTGTTGCGAATCAAAGCGACCTTCTGTAAGGTTCCTATTTTGCCATAAGGAACTGAGGTACTCCTATGCATGAATACACAACATTAGCCGTAATGCTTGGGTTAAAATGCCTTTCTGCAGTATCTATTAGGTATTATACAAAGTGTCCCCAAAAAACCCAAACTATTGAAATAACGTATTGTTAGAATTTGAATGCCTCAGCACTCTGCTGAACCCAGAAGTGCATAAAAACTTGGCATAAGTAAATTTTATGCATGAAGAAACTGTTTAAGAAGCTGCTTTAAATTCCCAAGAGCAGAAAATCGTGCGCTTTACAAAGATATTTTAATTTCTTAATAAGTCAATATTTATAATGTATGCACCCTGTCAATATTTTACGCATCTTTGCGTTCAGCTTAGTGCTATAGGGCATTCAAGTTCTAACAGTACGTTATTTCAATAGTTTTTTTTTTTTGGGACACCCTGTATATAGTCGTCCATTTCAATGGATTATCATTTTTATGCTTCGCCTTTGTTCACAGTTTGTAAATATTTGCTTGCAAAAAGAACCAGATAGTCGGTAAGTAGTATGGTTTGCATGTGTGAATATTTTGAACACACTTCTTTCTTTGCGTTTTATTAAATTTTTTATTTTAATTCTTTATTGTAGACCTTCTGCTAGTACCCTGCTGAACCATTCCTTCTTTAAACACGTATGTATAGGATGCTTTTGGCGGTTACTATTTCATATCTTTTTCGTGTTTTTAATCTCGGAACCATGCATGCAGTAGGAATATTCGGTATACCGATATACCGAAAATATGGGAATTGAGACAAATATCGGTATATGAGTTTTTCAGTCATACCGATCGATATATCGGAATTTTTCGGCGTACCGTATCAAATTTGCACACCATGCATATGGCGAAATCATCAATTTTTGTTTTAATTAATTGAAAAGTAAAAGTAGGCATTTCGTGTTAAAAACAATGTCAACACTGACAACAGTAAACGGTGTTTCCACATTCCAAATTATTCAAAATCAAAATTTCCTTCAAATTTCCACCAAGGAATTTTCCTATCTAATTTAAATGGCGAAAAACCGGTATACCGATAATATCGGTATAATTTTCCGGTATACCAATACAGGAAAATTCTCATACCGAACATTCCTAGGAACAACTCTACATTAGCTGGGATATACTGTTCATTTAACTTCTCCACTATTATCAAGTTAGAAGTATAAAGTTAAGAATAATTTAAGAGGGAACTAATTTCACTCTGCTATTTACACCCAGGAAAAATAAAGTTCACGTCACTATACTGTATATGCGCAATGGGTGCGTGGATCTCCCACTAATCACAAAAATATGACGCACGATTCCTGTGCAGAATCTTGATAGAAAAAGATTGCAAATACACGCAAAGCATTCTGGTAGTCACACACCGCATGGAAAAAACTTTAAAGTTATTTTTGGTATTTTATAGAAAAACGAAAAATAAAATTATCGTTTATTTGATTTAAATTATTCTTAAAATTCTAGGATTATATAAAGGTATAAAATTCTTTATATTTGCAACGTTAATAGTTGCGCAATATTGTTACAACTGTCATTTCCACACGCAATTTTAGTTTTAAATTGTCTACGTGCGCGCATAGTCTCCTCCGCAGGTCGGAGATTCGTAACCCAGCCGCGGCAGGCAGAATTTTCTGCTTTCGCGTTTTGGAAGCATTCACTCGAGAACATTTCATTCTATATACAGGGTGGCTGCATGCATGTATTTCTAGTTTAAAATTTATCTAATGCTTGGGCAACTAAATTAGGTTAATTAAATGGTAAGAACGTTAGATATATCTGTGTGCTGTTTAGGCTAAAAAGAAAGTGAAAGAGACTTTACCTGAACTTTTGTTACCAGTTCTGCCTGCAACGTTTGATAACAATGGTTAGTGTTGTTTCTTTTTTGTATAATCTATTTATAAACGTAGGGCATTGGCGTTCAGTATATGGCATGATTGCAGAATATTGCGATTCAAGTGAGCCCAGTAGCTACTGTTTAAGGTATTTGCTCAGGCCAAATTTCACCTCTGAAAAGTCAAATGTAAAAACAAAAAGCTATCATTATATGCCAAGTGTCAAAGTTCATATTTTCTTGCAACTTATTGGGAGAGAGCGTATGTCTCGCGAAAGTCACGAAATTCGACTGTCTCCTGCGAACATTTCTGAGGTAATCTGAGCTGTGGATATTACTTTTATTCACCGGTGAATAATAAAATCGTCGAGTTTTAAAGGGAGAATTATGGAAGTTTTCCATTTCTTTGTTTTATTTGACACTTGGTATATAATAGAATACTTATTGGCTGGGACTTTCGGGAAACAGTATGTTTTTGTGGTAGCCTCGGGTCCATTCTCGTACCCAGAGCCCTTCTTACGCCCGGTGCGACGAGGAGCTCTGGCCAAATCCATATCCGAACTGGCATCTGATTGGCTATAGTTCTAACACCGGATATTGTTTTCTTACCATGTTTTTACGGTATCCGGTTATGGATTTGGCCAGAGCCCCTCGTCGCATCGCGCGTAAGAAGGGCTCTGGGTACGAGAATGCCTCTGGTCCACAAAACATACAACCTCGTACCCAGGGCTTCTGAGCTTGTGAAACGCGGGTACGCGAGGTTGCAAAACATACTGTTTTCCTCTGTCCCAGTCAATAAGTATCAAGTGTCTGTTCACTTAACTGTTGACTCGTGGATTTGATGCCTTTGTTACCTCAGCCTTAGTTAAAAGGTATTAGGTTTTTTATAGTAGGTTTTTAGATTTCAAATTTTTATACAATAAGCTTTTCAACAACTGGTCTTGCTTCAGCGCAATATTCTGTATGATTTAGAAACTATACGTTGAACTTATTCGATGTGTTTTTTGGTCATGATTATGTAACCTTCATTTCCTGGTTGTTGCTTTTAGAAATGAAAAATGTTACACTGGTGGCGTCTGTGACAGACTCTTTTGATAATTTAACTATTGGCTCATGGAACTTCTGACTTTGTTATTTCAGCCGTAGTTAATAAGGCTTCACAAGGTTGGACATATATTGCTGCTAGTATAAATACAATACTTTCTCTACCTTGGTCTAGGTTTATGCAAAATAGTCATTGGTATCTTATCGTCTCGTGTGTATTTATTATTATTATTATGACATGTAAAAAGAATTCTCGATCGATGAAATCATCTTATTATGTAGTAAGTGCCAAAGTTCAATTTTCCTGTTTGCCGATTGGCCAAAACCGTATCACGTGCTGGTCCACAAAACGTGATGTTCACTGCATGCTTTGGTGAGGGGCAACCAATCAACAATGAAACAATTATTGACCGGTCAACAAAAAACCGGAAGTGAGGCGCGAGCTGCTCGCGTCAACCAGAACGTTTAAAGCAAAGTTTTTTTAAGAGTTTCAGCATATCTGCCGGTCGGTTTTATTAGAGTTTCGGAATAGTGAATACCAGGTGAATTATTGAGACTTTGACACTTGCTATATAATAAAACACTTATTTACTGAGACGGCGATCTCGGGGCCACAAAACACGCAACCTCGCAAGCCAGGGTCTTTTACTTCCCGGTAAAAGACCCTGGCTTGCGAGGTTGCAAAACACGCTGTACGTTTCCCTCGGTCTCAGTAAATAAGTGATATATATCACCCGAACGGCTGACCAAATATGTAATTGTTACATCAGTGACACAATACGAGTCTTGCCTGGTCATGCAAATATGGATAAAAATGTTTTAAAACTTAATATGATTTGATTTAGGACTGCAGTGTTTTACTTTTATAGTTCAGTGGCTTAGGCCTGAAATTGTCAAGATGTTAACAAAACGTATTAAGGAACTATGCTTATAACAATACTCATATAAGGGTATAATAGCAATGAATTTTCCCTATTCATGCAGAAGTGGCATGCAGAAATTTAGTACGGGGCTGCAATGAGGTGTTAATTTTGTTGGACCATACAGGTGTTTTGTTGGACCATGGCTCTAAAATATGTTATTAAGGATACATGAATGATTTTGTCAATGAAATGAACTTGGATAATGGGCGAGACGTTGCGCATTTAAAATATTTTCCGTAAACGCTTCATCTTCCGAGTGATTCCTCCCAAGCTGATTGCAGATTTTTGGGCACACCTTTCGAATTTCATCGTCGATCCAAATTGATAAATTTGAAATTTCAACATGGATACCTTTTATAATCAGGCGTAGTAGCTATTTTCTTCTTTAGGGAACCACAACATTACGGCAAACAATTACTAAATTTAAACGTGATAGTTCTCTCTTCGCATTTTGAATTATATGTTTACAGTATCAACAGTATTATATATTGTTAAGCAATCGATTAATTATCTATTCTTTATGCTTGTATCAAAATCCGTGTACTTATCTCGGTGTCCTCGCTAGTTTGGATGCAATGAAATCTCTAAGTCATTGTGCTTGAGAAACCTATGGGCTTATGCCTAAATATATCAATACAAGAAATCTTCGGATTGATAAGGTTTCAACTACCTGAAAAATACAAGGAGAACTTCCACGTTTCGAGCGAAAGCCATGCATTCGTCGCGAAGATACAGTTGCCCACGAAGAGCTTCGCTCGAAACATCGAAGTTCTTGTATTTTTCAGGTATAGTGGTTTATTATATAATAGAGAGTGAGATACTGAAAAATACACAGTTTGATATTTTCCATATCTTCACTAGTGAAGATATCGATCACGTGACTTTTTCCAATTTGCTTTTGAGCGTGAAATTTCACAATTTTTTTGCTTGGGACTATATAATAAACAAAACATTATACGGTGGCTTGAAGATATGACTTTTATCTTCTCGTGTTAAAAACAATATTTTACTCACTCGCTGCGCTCGTTCGTAAAATATTGTTTTCACCACTCGAAGATAAAAGTCATATCTCCGCGCCGCCGTGTAATATCCTCTATATATTTCTATCAATCTGAAGCTTTCTTTCTGTTGGCACTACCAACACTGGCGCAGACCGTTCAAGATTATGTCAATATATGTTTTAAATATGTAGAAATATCGCTTTACGTGAGCCAATCACAGCAATTGGTCCAGTCGGATGGGAAGTTAACTGAGCAAGACCTTCAACAGGAAAATTAGCCAACCGAAATGTGTTGAGTAACTCACTGGATTTTGAATAAACTAACAAACGATAGCTCGTCTGATCAAAGAGGAATGGATCATAAATGAGAACGAGTACGTGTTTCCTTACAGGATCAAATACGACACCTCGTACAGTGTGGACTAGTTCTTTAGTGTTATCTTTTCTTGGAAGCTTGATAATTTGTTTCAGTTCTCCTCCTTCTGTGTATATATTCACACTTTCTCCACGAGGATAATTCACAATTATTTCATTCTCGTCAGACGTACTTAAGCATGAACACTCTACCGATGAATCGTAATGTGGAAGAGAATAATAAGCTTTCAATTTGCTGTCTTTGCTGTCAAAGAAATGCAGTCGTCCTCCGGAGGAACATGTGATAATGCTTTCCTGGGTGACCTTCATGGAAAAATCGATTGCAAAATATTCATCTATAGGTAGCTTGAGTTCGCGTTTGATACTTCCAGTTGAATTAAATACCAACACTCTTATGCCATTTGCGGACGTATCCAAACAACAGATGCCAAGGTAAATATCGTCGTTAGCGTCGATAGTCAAAGAGGATACCGAATACATCAGCTGTTTTTCTTCTAATACATTTTCACTGAATAACTGAATTTCTCCGGATCTTTTCACCACTTTGATACTGGCTAAGCGATTCCATTTGCCGTCAGTAATAAATATTTGTCCTTTGCTATTTACAGCACAACTGTGGTATCCTTCGATAGTCAGCCTTTCAGAAAATGTAGTTTCCCAAGTTGCTTTCAACCCACTTTTCTCCACCGTTACCAAGTTTTCATTATCGTCAAAGATTGGATGAAAAGTGTGTCCGCGCAGATCAATAACAGGCCAGTTCAAACAACCAACGGATGTCTTTGTAAATTTCGAAATGAATTCAAGCAGGATAAAATTCAACGTGGTTATTGATCGTGATTTTTCGAGCCTTTTTGCTTGATTGAGACGAGATTTCATTCCTCCTTTAACATGAACAGAGAATATTTCCCGAACTGCAGGCATGTTGTGTAGTTCTTCGATATATAATAAGCAATCCTGAGCTGCGGCGTCCGGGTCTTGCAAGCCTTCAAGAATACGACTTGCAATGCGAAGTTTGCTAGCCATGATACGATCGTCAATGGTTAGAGCGACATTATTGAATGCGCGAGTTGCTTCTTCCCGAGATGTTCTGAACGATTTCTTAGCATCTAAAAGGCGTTCTTTTGAATCAATTTTCAGTTCTCTGATAATATTTGATAGTGTTAAGGCACTATCCAAGAATGAATCTCGCTTTGAGCTGAAAGTAGCGTCTTCTGATTCCCCTCCATCATTGCCTGGTTCTACATCAGACACTCTTGAATTGTTTGTGTACTTATCCTGAAGGCACAAGTTTAGTCTACAGATTCCCTCTTTAAAGAAACTAAAACTGCTTAATAAGTCTTTCCTCGCTAAGCCTTCGAGTCTACACTTAATATCATCGAGTTCTCTAACAATTAGTTTTCTAAATTTTTCGTCCGTCAAGTCACCTTCACTGAGCCGACCTGCGGTAACATCGCGAATCTTATCACATAGTATCCCGACTGTAAAGTTGAGAAAGCTTGTTATAAAACCAGACATGTTTATCTCTAGGCGTAAAGCCTTCAATGTAATAACAGAATTTAGGTTTTGCATACTAAGTCACTGTCAATTGTATTGTTATATGTTACTCTTGGCAATGAAAGTGTATAATTCCTTTAAAGGCATGTTAAAGGAATTATAGATATTAACTGGCAAATATGCCAATGCCAACGTAAACTTCCTTTAGAGATCTGCGAAGGCAAATATCAATGTGATCAAACACACGAAACAATTTATAACAATAGTGATAAAAATAAACGGTTCTACATATCATGCAAATATTTTTGTCTCAAGAACTCTGGAACAGGAAGGAAATATTTCTATACAAAGTTTTATAGGGCGTTATTCGTAGCTTAAGAATGGATGAAAGACCCACACATAGCTGTCAAAAATCGCGATAGTTAACTCCGATTAAGATATGTTAAAGAAACTATATAGTGCCTAGTGGGAGAGAATATTCACTCAAAGATGTTTGTCTTCGAGGTACTTGGCAAAAACAGAAAAGGAAAATATTTACATGTAATTCATTTATACATTCCTTGCTGGGAATGAAAACAGCAAAAAATTCGTTGTTGGCTCCAGCGTGACTTGGCTCCGATTCTTGATTGTATGCGAGATGTTGTTGTATGCACGTAATATATGCACGAATTTTGTGACTGTTTCAGTGCAATTTAGAATATCCCGAAGATATCTATCTTTTGGTGTTACTCTGCCGATCGAGCGTCCGGTTCGGAATGACGTAATCGCAGGGGATTAACTGCTTATTTCTCATATCTTTTTCATAACGTTCCAAATTGAAAAACTATGCTTTATATTTGTCAAAGAAACTGTATAAAACATTATTTCAAAACTGTTGGAAGGTGTTGGGCCAACAATATTGGATCTGTTTGATCAAGCTTTTAACACGTGCTTTCCATTTCCAAACAATAAATTGACGGCTGTTTATCAGAGTTATTTTTAGGACCATTTTCAAGCACTTTAATGCCATTCATTACAGGAGATAGTGACCCATCATAATTGCAACATTGATTTTACTGGTTTAACGATTGTAGTAAGCTGTGCAGAACGCTTAATGTCAATGTAAAAATCAATTCAAATGTCAATTAAATATACAATCTTGTATATACAACAAAATATACCAATATCACCCACTCGACTGAAGGAGTTGAAGGAATCGGTTTGACAAACTCACGGGCGTTCGTTGCGGGGGTTAGGTTGAATGTTTGGGTGTTATTAAGAGATTACGATACTAGATGTCAAGTTTATTGACATCACACGCAACGAACACCAGTTAGGTAGTCAAACGCTGAAGGATTGTAATAAAACAAGACGCCTGCTCAGGCGTTCACACTGGCCTGAAAATGGCAACTTTCGTGGTACTGGGTGTAATGTGTAGTAGAGAAGTAGATAGGGATACATGATCATAGGGATACTGGATCATATAAATACAACCAATAAATACAATCATGATCAGCAACTATTAACCATAATATACCAAGACGCCGGCTCAGACGTACCCTCCGGCTACGGGCAACTCAACCTGACAAGCCAAGCCCACTGTATAAACTATGATCATCAACTACCAACCGTAAATAATGACGGGCCAATAATAGCGAAGAAATTATATAGTCCTTGATTTTTAATGCCGTTATATGGCTAGTTTCAGGTGCTAAAAAGTTCATAGACATAGACGTTCTTCTAAAAAATACGCCAATTTGCTTCCATTTATAAGATAAACTGATCCCAACCCAAAGCCCTTCTCTAACCCCAACCAGTAAACATCTAATAAACAATTTGAGAATTAAAAAAGTTGGGGGGGGGGGGGAGTTGGATCTTGTTCCAAAAACAAATTGAACCGTATCACGTTTCACTTCGCCGCACGCAACGCCACCTCGCTGACGGAATACAATCGAAAACATACATTTTATAGTAATATATGATGATTTGGCGCAAATTCATGTAATTATAGGTGCAAATTTATAATTATGCAAATAAATACAAGAGCACAACGCATGTTTATGAGCCTACAACGTATATTTATACTTGTTAATTAAAAAGTCAAACTTTTACCTTGTCCTTGTTTATATTCCACTATATTGTATAAATTCGCTGGGTCCGAATTTTGGAGTTTTCGAGTCGTTACACAAAGAAAAACACACTAATTCAACACGCAAGAAAGGCCAGAGTGCGACACAACGTAAAATCCATAGGAAACCGGCACAATTCTTTGAAAATTCAACGAAACTGTGTGAAATATATATTGATCATATTGATCTATATTGGATCGCTCAGCCAAGCCGCCATTTTGAAACTGAACTGAATATGTCACTGGAGCACGTTGCACCCTGAGCCTGCGATGACCTAACGCAAACCCCATTTCTCGTCGAAAAAAAAATGACGAGCCAGACAGCTCCAGATTGGCAGCTCCAGATTGGCGAATCTGGAGCCAGCTCCAGATACAATTTCAATCTGGAGCTGGAACGACTAGTTTGTAAACAAACTGCTTCGGCCGCTTAACCACCGATGCATATTCAATTTGTTTGAAAGACCATTTTTACTTGTCATATTCCTTAGTATGTGATGGAAAATGAAAACATTTTTCCGTTCCGTTCGTCCATGGTAGCTTCTGAAAGATCACTGTTTTTTAAGACAAAGGGGCTGGTCAGCGGTGGGATAGATCGCAAAGCTCGTTTAAAACCTTACTTTGTTACCTTTATAATGAAAAACTTTAAAATTTGATCGATGACCATTCTGGAGAATGTATTCAAAAGTAAATTCATGCGGTCAACTTATTCCCACATCGCGAAACCGCGATAAATAACTCGCGCAAAGTTGAACTGTCTAATTTCGCGCACGGCCCGGCTGTGTTAATTTTATCCTTCC